AAAAATTAAATCATTAGCAATACCTTGATTTTCATGTTGCCTATAAGTTGCCATTTCAGGGTTTTTCTATGTAAAGTCCTTCCCCCTACTATTGACTGTGAGTTCTTAGTATAGAATGGAGGATGAACAGAATTGTTTTGGAGGTGACACTTCTCTGAGGAACATTTTATGCAGCAGATTTAGGTTAAAAAACCCAACCAAACAAAAAAAAGAGCTGGCATCACATTCCTTCTGTCAGAATGGCTAAACTGAGAACTTCCATATCTGTTCTCTTCCCTGACTTCCAGCCATGTTGAATGGAATGATTGAAGCAATTGTTTATTCAGAGTATCACGGACAAGAGCACTTGGCAATCCTTCCCTTTCTGAGCAGCAGCCTCTAAAGCATTGCTTTTGCTCCACAGAAACATGGAATAATCCCAGACTCTGATGTGCCCACCAATGAGGAGACATCAGACATTCTGGACAACAAAGGACCCTTGGATTCTTCCAAAACTGTTCCAGGAACAGCTCAGGCATTAAAGACAGGAGGGGAGGGGATGCTAGGTAAGTGCTGTATATCCTTTCAAATCATCCTGCCTGTCTGTCATCCCTTCATTCATCTCTGCTTGGATTTGGGCATTCGTTAGTGGGAGAATTAACACATCACGCAGCATGCTACTTGTCAAATCACCTCCCGTGCATTTTTCTGCTTGATCTTGATCATCACTCCCACTATGTTGTGCGGCTTCCTGCAAGGGCAAACTTCGTTTCCCCTTCAAGGTGGCAAAGGATGGAACACAAATATTTTGTTACAGATAAATAGCAGTCATTCACAGTTGTCCCAGGATAATCCTACTTTTGTTCAGTGTTTTTCAGCACATTTCTTAAAGAATCAGGAAAAAAAACCCACATATTGTTTTCTATAAAAAACTCATATGTTGGTTCATTTATATCCCTGAGAACTGTGTCTGCTTGAACAGCAGTGCTGGGCAGTGTTAAAACACATGAAAGGATGAACTCTTTGTTCCTGGTATCCTGTGCTGTTGGGCAGTTAATATTATTAACACTTCAGCATTTTTGCTTGTTAGATTAACACTTAAATCCAAAGAATATCATTGACATGGATAGCATGAGGAGGGAGAAATCTGGTTGGCAAAAACCTTTTCATGCAGTTGCAATCAGTGGCCACTCAGAGAACTATGACACTAGTGTGAGGAAAGGATGTAATATTTTTGCTTTGTTGGGTTGTTTGTTCTAAATGAACATACTAGTAAAAAGCAGCAGGCAGCCAAGTGTCACAAGTTCAAGGTACCTTGCTTTGAGCTTTTGGCTGCTTTTTCCTCACTCGCTTTCTGTGTGGAAACAATATGGAACACCAGAAACCAAGGTAAGGGTGTATTTTTAAATACAATATGTTTTCTGTATCTCCTAATTCTGTTTTGTTTTCTTTAAGTAGGTGCAACATAGAGCCAAAAGCTAACTAACCACAAGCGCTGTTGTTTTAATACCTGTTGCTTCTAAATATAAGTTGAAGGAAAATTGTTACAACAAAAAAAACCCCCACAGAAGTCCCCATCCCTTTGAGTGGCTGAAGTGGTTGTAAGTGGCACTAACTGCCTGAGCTTTGATCTGTGTTGGTAATGTAAACAGCTGAACCATTTGCTTGCCAATCAGATTTTACGTTCAGTGTCTGTCATGTGCACTGTTGATGCCTGTGGTATTAGGAGCAAAATACTACTGACTTCATGGTAGTGGCATCAGACACACACTCCTACGTGCACAGAGGGGTGTCAGGGTTAAAGTTGTAGAGAATATTGCTGAAGAAAAACAATCTTTAGAGGTCCATCTGCAAGTACTGCTGTTAAATCACACTGCTTGAAGCAGCTGCTCTTCTCTGCGAAAGCTGTAATTCACACAGCCAAGAGCATCAATCTTCTCCTTTCCAAAAACACAAGCCAGCACCAGAGATTTCTTGCTTTGAGAGGGTGGTGGTGAGTTTCACTGATGAAAACCCCCAGACCCTTACTAATTCAATTGCTACTTTGCCTCACAGAATTGGCAAAAGCTGATCTTTTATTAACCTGTTCTTTGATTCATTCTCTCTTTCGGGTTTTAAGTGGGGCAGTAAGTGCTATGGTGTGGTCCCTTCAACTTTCTCAATGGTCTTTTAGGCAAAGCCAGTGAAGTGGAGGTGAAAAATGAGATTTTGGAAGATGTGGGGAACAAAGAAATCTTGCAGAATAATGAGCATGAGGAACAGAAAGAGGAGTCTGAGGAGCAGGAAGTACAGACATTGCACGCTGATGGAAATGGAAAGACAGAAAAAATGGCTGAAGAATGTCACACCCTGTCAACAGTGATGCTACCAGATGGTAGGCTTGAAGAGCAAGCTCAGAGCCTTATGGAATGTGTATCAGGGAGCACTTCTTCAAATGATAATAATGACACAGGTGATTTGAGACAGGTGACCGAGTCTACAGGCACAGCAGTCCAGCAGCCTGACAGTGCAGAGGCTGAATACCATGACTTGAGTGCAAGGACAAAGGAGACAAAGGCCTCTCTGCAAGGCCATCAGATTTTTGAGACTCCTCAGGAAATGCCTAGTGACTTAGGTACAGAGCACGAACTGGGAGAAGCTGCACCCAAACAGGCAGAACAAGAGGATGTGAAAACTAGCCATGCCCTGAATGATAACAAAATGGATCAAGAAGTTGACATTGCAAGTGAGAGCAGTGAGTTGGTTTCTAACCAGGCAGGGCTACCAGAGGGTGCAGTGGCAGGCATGCTTAGGGAAGAGGGAAATGTGGAGAGTTCCAGTCCAGAGGAACTCCAGAACTCAGAAGAAAGTGCTGAAAACAAGGCTACAGATGTCTTGGAGAAAAACCTTGTTGAAAGCAAAGACTCCACTGATGGAAGAACTGATAAAACAGGAGGTGGTAGAGCTGAAGAAGAAAATGAGGTTGGGAATGCAGTTCATGGTCAGCTGAGAGAAACTGAGTCTATGGGTTTGGAGGGGACAGAGTCATGTGACAGGAATGTCCCAGCAGAGTCACTTGAAAAGGAAGGTGGAGAACATCAGGCATTCATCCAGCCAGTTTCTTCAGAGGACAGTCCTTCAGCAGCGTCAGAGGAACAAAGTGTGCCAGATAAAGGCGAACAGGAAGATGTCACAGCTGAGAAGGACAGAGAGAATGAAGCATTACTAGAACTGGAGAAGTGTTCAGGTTCTACAGAAACAGATGAGCAAGATAAGGCAGCTGTGGAGGCAGGAGACTGTACTGCTGAGGTGGAAGGAAGGGTCCTGCAGCAGGAACAGCCAGGGACGGACATTAAGAAAGTAGACCCAATCCTAGACCCAAGTCTTTTAGATGATAAAGTTAAGGAGTCAAAATTGGAACCAGGGGATGAGTCTGGGAAAGGAAAGGAAAGTAGGACAGAATGGTTCCAAGACTTAAAGCCGGAGGTAGAAGTTCAAACAGTTCAATGTAGTGAAGAAACAATAGGTGGTACAGAAGGAGAGGAAAATATTCCTTTAGAAGGTGAAGTGCAGAAGGTGGTTAAACAAGTGGAAGGTGAATCTAAAGCAGAGTCAAGTGTAGATGTTAGTGTGACTACTGAAAACAAAGCCAAAAAAGAAACACTGAAAGAAAATGAACAAGAGTTAGAGCTTGCAAATCACCACGGTGGGGAATTTGCTTCTGAGGAAGGTGCTAACAATTCCCTGGCACAGAAATCTGAGCAGGATGAAAATGTTAGTGAACAAGATAAATTGGAGAGTGAAGGAGAGGAAAGCCTGGAAGATGATGGTGATGCATTTGATTTTGATGAAGAGTCAAAGCAAATACTAGAATGTGGTGAAACAGGTGATGGAGAGAAAGCTGCTACACAGAAAGAAGAGGGTAATGGAGCACATGGTGGTGTTGGAAACACTGCTCTCACAAACAGAGCCGGAGAAGGAACAGACAAAATGGAAACCAAAGGTGACTTGACCGAAGATGACAGCTTGCAGCATAACAAAAATGAGCCTGAAGAAACAGGCTGCTTGCAAGGGGAAGCATTAGGGAAAGCTGATGTGATGGAAGATGAAATCAAAGCATCAGATTCTAATAAAGTGGAAAAAATACAAGATGAAGATGTTTCAGAACAGGATTTGGAAAGTGCTGGCATTAGCAAGTATGAAAGCAAGGAGGATTTGCAGGGTAGTAGAAGGGTTAAACGTCGATCCAGAGATGACTGTACGATGTCATAAGTTCAGAATCTCAAGACCACCCGAGTTCCCTGCCGTGTTATCAGTCCCAGGACAAAACCATGCACCTTGCAGAAGGCATCAGACCTTAGGAATACTCCTAAAGCTTTTTCTTTGTAGGTAACTCCTTATAATGCAATGTATGTAAATGGTAATGATGCAAGTGTTATGTTCTCTGCTGAGGTACTTAGCCACAAGAAATTATGTGTGTGTTTGGTTTTGCTGTGTCTCAGGTTAAGAGTTTATCTCCAAATGACTTGTAGCCTCTATCATAGATGTCTTCAGTGTATATATGTGCATTGGACCTTTGGGAATTTATGCACATACTTGCTTGTACTTAGAACTACAGTAAGGACACTAACACTTCATGAAGGAACTCATTAGATCAGCCACACTGATCTGATGTTGAAACTTCTTTCCGAATGATTAATGCCTTTGAACCAATCTTTATTTTCATTCCATGTTGTGTGTATTTCTAATATGGTCATACTCCAAAATGTAGTTAGAGCACTGTGAATCTGCTTAGTCTAAGCACTTTGGAAGATCAATGTAAAGTTTGAAGAAAGTGCAACATCCAGGTCTGAGTTGGCTGAAATGAACATATATATATATATATATATATATACACACACACGTTTACTTCACCTAGGCACTTTGCACCACAACAGGCCTTTTATACCATGCCTCACTTGAGTTTTTCATTTTTCCCAAAGAGAGTGTCAATACACACTGTAACGTGTGCTTAGGTTTCATATGAATTGCTGTCTAGATATGAATATATAAAATACCTGTTTTTCCAAGATTTTTGTTTAAAGTTGCGTTTATTTACTGCACTATATTTTTGCAAACTATGATTCTGAATGAATGTTTTTATCTCTGAAACAATCTTACCTCTTCCTTTTTGGAACAAAGATAACTTTGCATGTCTTAACTCTTGCTGGATATCAGACCAAAGACAATTGTTGTTCTGTGTACGAGCCTCCTTTTGGAAAAGCTGGATTGCTTTGAATTCCTGACACAAATTAGATACTTGGACTCCATTGGTGTATTTCTTCTTGCCTCTTTGCTAGTGCCTGGGAGGAAGAGCATGATTTACATACATAAATACTCATTTAAAGTTGTTTTAAGCAATGTGCATCCCAAGGGGATGCAGGTTGAGGGTGCTGGGGGCTATAGAAGGGCCACATTTGTGTTGATGTTGCCAAGTGGAGTACAGACAGACTGCAAAATTTCAAGATGTGTACCAAATGTACTGCTGTATATAATTGAAATAAACCTATTTTATACTTTCAATTCCCTGTCCAGAGCACTGTTTCTAAACCTGCACAGTTGTTTAAATCCATATCGTTTCAAAACCATTTTTCTGCAGCTTTGTTAAATTTGTTGCATAGTGCTACATAGCTGGAAGAGTGATCTTCCTGGGACTGGGCAGCCTCGGGATTTGAGGACCTTGGCTATGTGATGGCACCCTTACCTGTAAACCTGTACCAGGTCTGTAACCCTGTAACTCCTTTCACATGGCTTCTCTCCAACTTGCAGCACATCCACTGTGGTATTTGTAAGTATTAGCACTTGTTCTTAAGGGTTTACACAAATGCTGGTCCAAAAAGTCATGGATCTTAAAAGTATTGCTTATGAACCTGTAGCAGTGTTTATGTAAAGATTTGTCTCTGCTGTACTCCAACACAGAGTTACATACATAGTTTAATATTGAAAGTGGTTTTGAAATGTTAAATACACTTAAGTATGTCATTAAATGTGCTTACCAGGCTTCACCTGTACTTATAGATGGCTCTGCAAGCAAGTCTAAGTTAAATTAGGCATGTGCCAGTATTTCCTGTGGTTTTTATCCCAATTTGTTTCTAACAAAAATGCTTCTAGGTGGGTGAGGGAATTAATGATGAGCTGATTTTAAATAGTTTTTCCACTTCAGAAAACAAAGCATCTGTAAGAGAATTTCTTTCTAAAGCCAAGTCACAGAACAAGAAGCCAACTCCAGTCTTAACTGTCCATGTACCAGCTTCTATCCCACTCTCAGTGTACCTAGGGTGGGAGCCAGGACACGGACAGGCAGTGCAGAGTAGCTGATGTGCCAGAAATCCATCCTCGAACATTAACTGCTTGGTACTTCTGTTGGCACCTGATCCCTGACTTCTGGAATTGGGCAAGTACTGTGGAGGAGAAGGTCATGGTTTTCCTTATCTCTTTGGCTTCTTGCTTGAGTATATGCACATCGAGGAAGAGGAGCAGATCTTCCAGGTAAATCATCTTGAAGACAGAGGGATCTGCTAGATGTTACTTAAATGAGTACATTTTGAGTGTGTGAGCTAGCATTGAGTGAAATGTGGTGTTAGAGAGGGAGAGGAGACAGTTTCTTAGGATGAATCACTTAGAAAATGCATCTTCTGCTACACAACTGAACAGGTTTTTGCATTTTCCCTGCAGCATCTAACAGAAGAAAATACCAAGCTTGTCACTTTCATCACTGGTTTTGACTGGCAAAGGCAGCAAAATAGCAAAGTCATTCTTTTCATGGTCTAATGTGAAGCCAGAAAATGGTGAGATTAATTAAAATCAAGATTCATACTTGCTGCTACTCTGTTTCCTGCTTTGTTTTGAGCAGGAACTGGTGTGTGCCGCAATGAGCACCACTCAGTGCACTAGACTTCTGTGGATCAGTTAGCCCCAAATAAACCCTGAGTTCTCTGGTCCACACCTAGTGGCACGTGTAGCCTGTAGCCCAGGTTTGCTCATAGCCATGAATTCAGAGCTAGCCTGAAATGCTTTCAAAAGCAGTTGCTGAAGAAACTTTCTTGCTGGAAAAGGGCAAAAAAGGTAGTGAAAAGGTCAATATTTCCTTTGTTACAGAGAACAGTCCTTCTGTCCCCCTCAAAATCAGTATTGAAGCTGAGTGTCTTCCAAATCCTATGCTGTCCCCAGCAATATCCTTCTTCTGAGAAAGACAGAAAGGCATTTCTCCATAGTTTTTGTTGTTGTTTTCTCATGATCCAAAATAAATTGACAGATCTGGAGAAGGAATATTGTCTAACCTGCTACTCTGTCAGATTCTTGCAGGCTGTTCTCAATAGCTGCTTGGGGCTGCTGCTGTGATTTCATGGGATGTCTTCCCACCTTCCAAGTAGAGTTTACTCCTTTCATTTGCATCAGGATTAGTTATTTGCTAGGCCACATGTCATGTGAATCATACAGGTAAAAACAGCTGCTTCCTATGCCATAGTCCCCTCCAAGTGGGAAGAGATTGAGGATCTGTGACTGATTTGGGGATCATTCCTAGTTAGGAATACCTCAAGTCACCTGCAATACCAAGGCAGTGAGAACAGTTGTTTAACTTACAAACTGCAGCAGAAGACATTGGTCACCATCTCCTCCCTTCAGTCCTCTGTGAAACTCATTTGTGTAGGAAAGCCAAGAACTGGTACAGTGAGTATCCTGTTTCCAAAGTTAAGTGAGGTGAATGTCACATTCTAATTACTCATTGTAGTAGCTTTATATGTGAAATAACGATAATGATGGTTACAGTTGAGAGTTTTAATTAGCTGCTTCAGTGTCCTAATTCTATAGATTGCTCTTTCCAAAAACCTCAAGGTCCTTGGATCCTTGTTTTTTTTTGGAAAATGTCTCCTAAGTGCAAAATTAAGGTGACTGCAGAGATAGCAAAACTAAAGAAACTGATTTTTGCCTTGGCCTTGTAAATCCTGCTCCCAGCACATCCCAGGGGGGTGCAGAGAGGTCCACAATGAGGGGAAACAGGACCGATGGTGAGATCAGATTTGAAGGTTCATAGAATCATAGAATTTAGGGGTTGGAATGGACCTTACAGATCATCTAGTCCCAACCCCCTGCCCTGGGAAAGGACACCTCCTCACTGGATCAGGTTGCTCAAGCCTCATCTCAAGTTGCTAACATCTATTTTACAGGGAATAGGGCTGGGGGAAGCTGGTGTTCTTCCTTACTGTGTCCATTCTTCCGCCAGACATGTCTCATGCACAGCACTGGTTGTGTCAATGGAAACTACAACTAAGTTATTTTCAGGATCAACGTCGATTATTTGGCCCCCTTGGAGTCAGTAGGTTTGGGTTAATTTTGTAGTGGCCTAGAGATTTCCTTCTGTATCAGTCCTCATTCTCTTTGCAGTCCTTAGAACTCCATTTCTCCGTCTTTGCTGACCCGTGACTCCCAACATTATCTCCAAGTCGGAGTGTCTCATAGAGTCATAGAGTCTTTAGGAGCTGGAATGGACCTTATAGATCATCCAGTCTCAACCCCCTGCCCTGGGCAGGGACACCTCCCAGCAGATCAGGTTGCTCAAGGCTTTATCCAGCCTGGCTTTGAACACTGCCAGTGTTGGGGCAGCCACAGCCTCCCTGGGCAACCTGTGCCAGTGTCTCACCACCCTCACAGGAAAACATCTCCAACCTTTTGCTGTTTGCTCTCCTTGCTTTCTTCACTGACCCTTATTTTATTTCCATCTTTCATCTTATACAGCATTTGTCTTAAGCATCCTTTTCTTCCCCTATAGATCTGTGAGATTGTTTGTTTATTTAGAAAGGATTTATACTTATAAAATTTGATTACTCTGGATATTTACTAAAAAGTGGTTTGTTTGTTGTTTTTGCTTATTTTGTTTTTCGTATCAATGCTCAGGTGTAACAATGTTGGGTGTGTTACAAATGGCTAAAAAGAAAACTAGATAGGACTTGAGAAAGTTCAAAATGACTCCACAGAACTGCTGCCCTGGGATGTGTCGTTAAGATCTGTATTTGGGTAATGCATCAGAAGCCAAGGTAAACAGTTTTATTCCATGCTCTGGTATGGCTGCTGGTGTGGGGGAGTTTGGATACCCAGGAGGGGAATACGGACCACATTATTGCTAGCTGATGGACTGTACATGTCTGCTGCATTAGAGGAACTTTGATTTGAAAATGTTTCCCCCATTAGTTGATTCAATGTAGACTCTTTATTCCCTTTAACCTCATGTGCTAACAAAAGAAAAGGGAGAACCACAACACTTTGGCCTGTTCAGGATTCAATGACAAAAGGTGAAGTGATATTTTTGAAGCTTTTATAAAATGTTTTAGTCTGTCTATCAACAGAATTGCCTGATAAAAGCCCACGAGGCTCTTACCAGTAATTTGTCGATTGCTTTCCTTACCTTTACAAAAAGACCTCTTTCTTGAGTGACCTTTGAATTTTAACCATTTAATTAGCAGGCCAGACCTTAGCTGTGGAGTTGAGCCCTGAGCCCCCTGGGTTCTGCACAGGTGGCTGCTTGCTGGCAAGGGAGGCAAGCTAAATAGACCTCCATGTCAAACTGGTGATGTAAGTCCCAGCTGAGGTCAATAGATCCTCTTCTAATAAGGGTATTTGAATGTGATCTTCCAGTGTACTTCTGCTTGAGGTGTACCTGAACAAACTGAGGTTGCTAATGAGGTGATTTGAGTGATAAGAAAATGTGTGAGTGCCTGCTGAAATGCTTTCACCCTTAATGGGAAAGGAAAAAACTGAGTGATTTGATTACTGCCTAGTTCTTTTTTTCAGTTGTCTCATTCTGTAGTGTGCACCTTATTAAAGAATGCCATACACATCCATGTGCTGATCTGTAGCACTTCCAAGTGCAAGTATAGCACAACAGTTGGTCCAGATTGCTTTCTTGATGTTTGACCTGGAGCACTGACTGTGAAGAGAAAAGAAAGTTTTACCAGACTGTTGTCTTTGAAGCACAAATAATTTGATGGGCAAATGTTTTTCTGAGCATAATATTGGAAATGAAATGTCATTGCCATGTAAAAGAAGGGAAGATTTAAAGTGCTAAGAATGTGCTTATTTTGATTACAGGTGTTTACAATATTTTTATTGTGTTAAACTGTAAAAGATCTGTGAGATTTTGTGTTGCAGTTGTCTTTGACCCTAGAGTTTTTGCATGCTAACCTAACGTAGAAGATTAGCCTTTTTGCATGCAGCTGGGTGCTGCTTCTGCTGTGACAAGCATGTTCTGTGAGAATGACATAACCCCCCCTGGCTGCAGCCCCTTTCCAGCCCTGTCTGTCACATTTCCTGTGGTATGTGCATAAGTACCTTCATCAGTCGTTTCACTAGCCTTAACAGTTCAGTCGTGTATATCAGATGCACTCTGAACCGTGTGGCTCCATCAGATCACTGAACTTTCACTTTTCTCTTTCAGACAGGCCGAAAAAGCTCATTGATGAACGAGAGTCCTTACTAGAGCAGGTAATCACAGGAGAAGTGAAATGCTGTGTACAAAAGCTTTACTAAGAATAGTAAGGATTAAGAAAACCAAAATAGCCACGACACAAGGTGTAATCCAGCAGTGCTGCTGCCATGCAGAGTCTGTGCTGGGCTGCTCTTGCTGAGGACTTACTGCCTTGATGGCTACTTTATTATTCCTCTGAAACATTTCTCCTGCACATTAACTCAGGGTGCAAGGGAAGAGAGATACTGTCCAGTGTGCCTGTTCCATGCTGCTAACCTGTCACACTCAGTGCCCTCAGTCACCTAAAACTCCTTCTCCAGGACCATTTCTCACAGTCTCACAGTATATTAAGGGGTTGGAATGGTCCTTAGAGGTTCTCTAGTCCCAACCTCTTTGCCATGGGCAGGGACACCTTTCACCAGAGGAGGTTGCTCAAGGCTTTATCCTGCCTGGCCTTGAACACTGCCAGGGTTGGGGCAGACACCATGGGGCAGCCACCACATCCCTGGGCAACCCGAGCTAGTGAAGAATAACACTTGAGATTGGCCAAGCCCAAGGGAAGAACAGATATGGCTCAGAAGTTGTAGAAGCAAATTTTCTTTCCAAGAGTAAACCCTCCCAATTGCAGGGTCTGTGGGTAATGGGCCATTCGGAAGGAAATGCTGGAGGAATTGCAGTAGATAGGGAAATAGCAAATAAAGTAATTCCT